GATATCTCCATGTTGTTACCGGCTTCTTCTTCTGTTACACATTTAATGCTATTGGACTTCCGGGTCAAAGCCCGGTGCACGCTCATCTACATCTGTAAAACAGCCAATAGGAACTCCCTCCTCTGAAATGACCTGTGACTGACCAGAGTCTGCTGCCAAATTTTCTACAACCTAAAAACAGAGCCAAGAGGAGGAGCAGAAGAATCACAACACACTCAAAGTTTATTATGGGAGTGTTGCCAAATGATGCCAAAGTAAAGCTGCCTCCCACAGCTTTCATGAGTGTGTTTTTTGTTTATCTACCAACTAAACTGATCATGAGACAAGCTGCACCATCAGGAGCATGCTACACTTAATTTTACCAGTTTCAGTTTGACATCTTCATTAAAATCTCTGTAAAAGTCGTCCTCCTGACCAACCAGAGGAGAGCAGCTGATCAACATGTTGTCATCTGAGTCTGAAACTTCACGGCTGAACGCTTTATGATCAGCACTGAGGGCTTCACAGGAGCAGACGACACTACCGCAAATTCCTCTGCATGTTATTGAATGTTAACATTACAAAAATATGCTGAAATAAAAAATATACTACTTCTACTGCCTGTTTATACATTTACATTAGATTTTATTTCTGCATTTTAAATTCTGCACTAGTTTATGTTTCATGGCATCAATTTTTATTTTCATGCACTTTTTAGTTTTATTGTTGGAGGAGGAGCCTGAGAACAAAGACTGCTTCACTGTTACTGATGTGCATGTGACAGATAAAATTATTTGACTGACAAAAATGTGTTTTATCCAAGATCGATAAAACTTTTTATTTGCATCCACCTGATAGTAATCACCACGGTAACTGCAGAGGGAATCCCGTTTGTTCGCTGCAGTGAGTCGACGCCGAATCAACACTTCTTGTCAGTGTTTCACAAAAAACTCATCAACAGGTGACAGCAGGGGGAGGTCTTTATTGCGAAAGCACCTCAGGAAGTGCTGACGATGCCAGAGATGTGACCAACAGCTTCAATACAGATCTACAATCAGCGGATATGACTGTGTCTGTCCTCTGACAGCTTGTAATTCGGCGGCCTCATGCAGGGAGGTTTCTCACAGACTGTCCTCCCTCCCTGCACATCCTCTTTTGGTCCAACACTCACTGAGATGAGCAGCGTCCCGGCCGGATGCAGCCCCCGTCTCCTCTGTTAACTGTTGCGACAGCTGCTCCGAGATCTGCTAACGACAGCTCTCTGCATCCAAACGGTCGAGTCTGCAGCACTTTCACTTCCCAATATGCAGCTTCCTGAAGAGCTGCTGGATGAGGAAGGTCCAGTCACGGAGGGGTCACCCACACTTCTGCACACACACACACACACTTCTGCTCACACACACACTGCTGCAAACTGTTGCACATATGCTGCAGTATAGTGTATCTTCTGCCTGATATATTATGTAATCTCCCTCTGTGCCACTGAGCTCCAGTATCGTTAAAACACATCCGTGAGTTGAAGCTCAGTTCTCATCTTCTCTACATGCACCCTCTGAATTACCTCGAGACAAATGTCTGGAGATTCTTATTTCACAAGTATATAATCATCTCATGTCACTGGACACACACACTCTCTTTAAAACAAAACTATCTGAACTGGGATCAAAACTTAGATAAGATTTCTGGGATGCAGCTATTACGAGGACACATTAGCCACCATCCTGTGCACGCCTCGGGCTGACACAATTCAAGGTCCTGCACTGTATCCACTTCAGTAAGGCAAGACCTGCAGAGCAGACGCTGCTCATATATGTTCTGTCTTTGTCCCAAACTAAAGAGCGTCTGGGCCAACGTTTCTGGAATCTTGTCTGAATTTTTAAAAAATGATTTGCAGCCCTGCACTCTGATAGCATCGTTCAGGGCTCCAAAGGACGACGTCACAACTCTGCCTGCCGGACAGGCTGATGTAGTGACGTGTGCGTCTCTATTAGCTTGTCGTAGAGTTTTGCTATAATGGAAGTCATCATACTGTCTGCTTACAGACCTGGTGTTTTCTCTCAAACCTGAGAAGGTAAATTCACTCTCAGGGGCTCTGAACACAGTTTGCACAAGGAATGGTGATGCTTGATAGTTAGTATTAGCAGCCTCCTGAACAGGAGAGGATTATTATGTAATTGCACAACACTCGCCACACTCGTCATTTAAAAGACCTTCTCCCTCTTCTTCTGTTCCTTTCTTTTATTTACCTTTTCGCTTTTTTCTACTGTGCTCTTTTAACAGAACCAGTGTCATTTAACCTGTATCTTCATGGACGTTCAGGATGCGGTGGGAGGGGACAGGTGGGAGGGGACAGGTGGGAGGGGACAGGGATGTTTGTTAAAGAAAAGAAAAATGGAAAGACAAGTATTGTTTCAACTGTAATTCTGTGGGATTTGCAGTTATCCTTCAATACCTGTCACTAAACACTGTCACTGTATACTCACTAGAGAACCAAATGTCAATTAGTCCGCCTCTGAAAAAAGTCCCCACAGTTGCACCATTTCCTCATTTACTGCTGATACTCGTCACAACTACGGTCACCTCACCATGTAAATCATGTTACCATCAGAGTTTGCACACCGCTCTTAGTCCCAGGATAAGGGAGCTGTTAACCTGAAGCTAAGACAACGTTCACACTGACACAATCAAGTCGCATCAAGTGCCGCCCCGAGCACACACCGGACACACTGCACTGCAGCTCATCAATAAATGACCATGTCAAGTTATTATTACTTTCACTGACAGATCTGAACTTCCTCCACCTCTGTGTTAGCTTAAAATCATGTGTGGACAGCCACTAATTAAACTTGAGCCGATCTCCAGAGCTGTGACTTACCAGTAAACATCTGTTTGGTCATTGTCTTAATAATGACTGGATTGTGGGTCATTTAGCTTCCTCTAACCTCAACAACCAGTCTCTCCTCATCCATTCATCGTCACACACCAGACTAATCAACAGCTATAAGTTCTCTTTACACGTCCATGTTGAGGAGAGGAGTCGAGCTGCTACAGGAGCTGGTCTGTACAAGCAGAGAGCGAGTGGGAAAATGCCTTTAATTCCAGGGGTGGTGAGGCTGGAAACAGGACAGTGGCGTGAAGTGCTGAGGGTAGCGCGTCCTGGAGTGCCGACGCACCTCTAGCTGCCAGCAGTGTGTTTTGGTCTTAACGCAGACCTTAGCCTGGAGTTTATTAGACCTGCTCTGGAGCAGGTTTATCCCCTGGGCTAAAAGTTGCCAATGTGAAACAAGGCAACAGATTATACCAACCCCATTATACAGTGAACCTGGGCTGAGATTAAATTCTGGGGTACTGTGTGTGTGAAAAGGGGCTAAGGACAACCCAGGCTAAGAGCTGACCTTCAAGTCAGTGATGTGTTCTTGTTCAGTCATTTTTTATTGTATTCTTATTTTAGTTTCTTTCATAGACCTCTTTTTATTTATTCTTTTTCTTTCTCTATGTATCTGAACTATTTCTTACTTTGTGCTGCACTAGCAACCTAATTTCTCCTCTGGGGATCAATAAAGGTTTATTTCATGTTTTCTTTTCTTTGCACATCTCATCTTAGCTCAGCTTAGCTCAGCTCAGCTCAGCTCGAGAAAAACTTTTGTTTTCTGAATGAGTTTTGCAGCTTTAAGGAAGTTTTATCAGGAACATTCAGCGGTGACTAACGCACTGATATAAAATATATTTGCTGTTTCCTGTTAACAAACCACAAACTGTGAGAGCAGTTTTCCTGCCATGAGCAGCCTGAGGGCAGGGAGTCACTTTGAATGAGTCCAAGTTCTCTTTAATACAAGTCAAACTGCAGAGCTGACTCTGGTTTCAGCCCAGTCGCCTGAGGGATATGTCTGCATCACAGATACGTTACTTTTGTATGCTTTATATGCATCATATCAACATTTCTACAGTGACGTAGTGATGAGCTGACGGTCATCATGGAGAGGATGGTGGACGCCTAGTTAAGACATCTGCCAAGCTGCAGACTTCTGTTCAAGACCATCAAACAGCAACACGGTTGTGATTTGGCGACTCACTGCTGTGTTTCCAGCAGCTTTTTAGTGACCTGTTTTTCCTGCTGGGATAGTGGCATGAAAAGCAGCTGTTTTTACCGAGACATCCCTGCTTCTCCAGCGGTTATTGCAGGTATTTTACGCCAAAATCTGATCTTTCCCTAACCTTAACTGAGTGTTTTTTGTGCCTAAACCTAACCACACATTAACCAAATTCATTCATTCATTCTTTTTCCGTAACTGCTTATCCTGTTGGGGGTTGCGGATCACCTACGGACAGTTTAGAGTCACCAATTAACCTGCATTTCTTTGGACTGTGGGAGGAAGCTGGAGCACCTGGAGGAAACCCACGCTGACACAGGGAGAACATGAAAACTCCACACAGGAGGACTCAAACCAGGCCATGCCGCCACCGCCAACCCTGCTGCCGACCACAGTGTTGTTGAAATATAAAGTTTCAACGTATCCGCCACATTATAACGTAAAATGGTCACACATCCTTACTCTGCAGAAACATTCAACATGTTTTCTGGTGACTGGGTTTCTGGTCTGACACCAGTGTGTTTGAGCTCGCAGTCTGTGTTTTGTGTATAAACCAGGTGACGATGTGTGTGTATGTTATGGGTCATGTAAAGAACATATATGTGCATAAACACAGATGGGCTGAATCACAGAGAACCAATCTGACCTGTTTCTATCAGATCTGTTCACAAAGTGCACAAAGAGAACAAAGTGTTTCCCACCACCTCTCTGTTCTCTACTGGTGAAAAGGGAACACCAGTAAAACCAGCTGTTGCATCATTTCCCTCCCTGAGGTTTCCCTGGTTGTCATGGATACCATCACCGACTCAAACAGCAGCAGCAAACAGTCGTTAATGCTCACGAGAGATGAATATCACTCTGAAATCTTAATGTGAGTTTTTCATGAGTCAGACTTTCAGATTCAGATCAGTCACAAGTCTTTGAACTCACCACTTCGAAGATTTTGATGATGAAGTGGATTTTATCCAGATTCTCTGATGGGACGGTGAACCAGGAGGATTTGGGGTTCGGAGCCGTCGTCGGGGCGTAAACGCTTTCGGCCATGATGGAGCTGAACAGAGAAAATCCAGTTATAAACTCACAGCGTCACACTGAGGAGAAACTGACACACACAAACATGCTTTGGTTCATTTATATGAGAAGAAGATGGAACATCAGTTTCCTCCACAGAGCAGACGCTGTCCTCCAAACTGAACTCAACCTGAGACGTCTCATTTAGCTGCTCAGAAAAGAACAAAATATCACCAGGTGTGTGTGAAGGGAAGAGGGGAGAGACCATACTCAAGTACTAGTTTGAGATACTTTAGTGTTTTCTGTTAATGCCACTTTTCACTTCTGCTTCGCCACATCTATCTGACAGCTTTAGTTACCGTGCAACTTCATATTTTTACACATGTTCTGATACCATTTTTCCATCCCGATATCAATTCAGAACTTGCCTGTTGGCCACAAAGCACCAGTGTGGAAAAAGTAGGCCCGCACACTTACTGCCATACAAGTTTGATAAGGACGGAGTTTCAATTCTACTTGACAACATGTCAATCCAACTTCCAAGCAGGATCGAAACACTGTCCTTATTAAACTTGTGTGGCGTGGAGTAGTTCACTTCAATTTAATTCAATTCAATTTTATTTATAAAGCCCAATATCACAAATCACAAATTGCCTCAGAGGCTTCACAGCACACGACATCGCTCTGTCCTTGGGCCCTCACAGTGGATAAGGAACAGTGACGCTCTGGGTCAGCTGCCGGTGGCGTCACAACTTTGTGCAGGCTACTGTCACTGTTTCTCGACGTGCCACAGCACTGGGAGAAGGTTGCACAGGTGGAGGCACAATAAGGTCCTTATAGAAATCGCCAAATGGGTGAATTAGCAGAGGGTCAGAGCCAGTGAGAACCAGGCATCACCACCTGAAGCTATCAGTTTTTAAGAATGAAGGCGATAAGGCTCCTACGGCAAGAGCAAAGGCCAAGAACCAGCCTTTCATTCTGCAGCGTGCTTCCGACTCGGAGATGGAAGTAAAGAGGAAACTCGTCGTCTTCCTGCTAGACGTGACGGTAACCTCCCTCTGGCCAGTAAAAACTCTTCATGGTTTCAACTTCACAAACTTTTCTTTTGAATAATGTTAATAACTAATAATGTGTTGGTGATAATATCGAGGTTAAACAAAAATTGTGAAGGTGTCACTTTGAGCTCTGGATCGTTGTGACAAACTTTCCTCATATTTTCATAAACCAAACAATCAGTCGATTAATGTTGAAAATAATCAGCAGATTAATCCATCATGAATATAATCATCAGTTCAACATGAGCTGCACCTCGACTGCAGCAGTAAAATCTTATTTTTACATTAACACGAGTCAGAATCATTTAATGAGGTCAGATGTAACAATAGAACACTCACAGAGGACATTTAAACATTGTCCTGATTAACTGACATTATTTTACTGAAGGAACATTTTCAATGCAGAACTTTTATTGTATTTTTACAGTGTGGTATTCATACTCTTCCTGTGCCACTGAGCAGCTCTGATTGTGACTTGACAGCTCACAGCTGGGGCTGACTGATGTCTTTAAAATCAATGTCATGGTATTAATTAGAATATTTCTAATTATATGTGTCAAAATAAAAATCACATGTAAAATAACCCGAGTGAAGACCAGTGCGATGATCTGTGTTCTACTTTGATTCTAGTCTTGACATGAAAACACCAGTTTCATAACTTGATTTTCTTGTTATGTCTTGATGAGCACTTCGTTGAGTTGCCCTGCTGTCACATCCCACACAGCTGATGAACATGAAGCTGAAGCGGAGCCCAACATGTCAGAGAGGGAAGTTCATCTTGGAAATGTTTGTTGGAAAGTTTGAGGTTCCTGAAAGTGTCTGAGGCCACTCACAGTTTCAATCAACATACAGAATGAACACCTAGCGCACTCTCACAACATCACGCTCACTAGAGTTTATTTCTGCATGACAGCAGCTGCAGGGATTTGAGCAATAACTACTGTGGTCCAGGCAGGTTGCTGATTCTGGCACTTTACAGCTCCCTCTGTGATGTTATGTGTGTTGTTTAATATTTTAATATTGTATGCAATGTGTCTTTTTTTTCTTTTCAACTCTTCTGCACCAACCATGGGACTGCCATTATGTGTTATATCCTGCATAACACAATGACAACATAAAGGCTTCCTAATTTCTAATGTACACTTTGTGTTTTAAGTCCTTGTTACATTGGTCTCATATTCTGAGAGTGAAAGTGAAAGCACCGTCAGGCAGGTACAGAGTTCAGGTGTAGGCTCCAATGAAAACATTGATAAGAGTCATTTATACTGCTATAAAACAGACGGAGAGCCACGAGGTCATTTTCCACCAGATGGACCCTGAAACTCATGTAGTCACTTATGGCGGTAACAAACCTGCTTTCAAAGTTTACTAATTTAATATTTATGTGCTTCGACACAAAAACAGAGACGTCACAGTACACGGCTCATGACCTTCACGTGAGCAGAGGTGTGTGTCTGTGTGCTCGGCTAAACTTTAATAACCGCGTCGCAGTTTATTTTAGTGATATCTCACCTTTAATATGTCACAGACACACTTTCCGCCGTCAGCCGCTGTGTAGTTTGATGGAAAACACAACGAGGAGCGTATAAAGGTTTAAAGACGTGACTGTATTCAGATTAACTGTGTCAGGAGTGTGTGACTGACGCCGGAGTGAAGAACAGATCTTTCATTAAATATAAAAACCGTTTTAATCCGAGTTAGTCTCGCTTTTCTGTAGAAGCGACGCTACAAACTAAACTGACTGAATTCAAGCTGCAGTCTGGCGAGCGGAGTTTTGGCATCACCTTTAACCGTGGCCTAAAATCTGCCAGACTGAGCCGCTGAAACAGGAAGTAGTTTTACGGTATAAAGATTATAAAACTTTAAAGTTTCGGGCTCAGACTCACCGCTCGGGTCTCTTCCTGCTGACACAAATACAAAGTTTCCAACTGCGACGTTCAACTTCAACTCGTCGCTTTGTTTCTCAGCTGGTCAACGAACTTCAACAAAACTTCCGCGTTTTTTATTTTTTCAAGCCAAACGGAAGACATGTAATTTCCGGTTACGACTTTCACATTAAAAGTGTTTTTGGTAACTCGGGATCAGGGAGGTTCACACCACTTTTTTGTGGTTTGTTTTCATTTTATTGAAAAAGGTTGAGCATATATTCTTTGATTTCATGTTTTATCAACAAATTTGCATAAATAAACAAGAATGCACATATGCACAATATTCTATTTTTGCTGATATCCAATATGTCAATATCTAACAACTCATTTGGCTGATAACCAATATCAATATATCCACTTTTTTCCCACCTAATTTTAGTGATCATCAAGTCTCTTCTGTAGTGGAATTAACATCATATTATACATACATGCTCTTATCATGACGGCCCACCAGCAGATGGAGACATGAAACACAACACTTTAATGTAGTCCACCTGAACATCTGAGGAACTTCACCTCAGTGGACATTAAACTAAACCTTAAGACATACAGTACAGGCCAAAAGTTTGGACACACCTTCTCATTCAATGCGTTTTCTTTATTTTCATGACTATTTACATTGTAGATTCTCACTGAAGGCATCAAAACTATGAATGAACACATGTGGAGTTATGTACTTAAGAAAAAAAGGTGAAATAACTGAAAACATGTTTTATATTCTAGTTTCTTCAAAATAGCCACCCTTTGCTCTGATTACTGCTTTGCACACTCTTGGCATTCTCTCCATGAGCTTCAAGAGGTAGTCACCTGAAATGGTTTTCCAACAGTCTTGAAGGAGTTCCCAGAGGTGTTTAGCACTTGTTGGCCCCTTTGCCTTCACTCTGCGGTCCAGCTCACCCCAAACCATCTCGATTGGGTTCAGGTCCGGTGACTGTGGAGGCCAGGTCATCTGCCGCAGCACTCCATCACTCTCCTTCTTGGTCAAATAGCCCTTACACAGCCTGGAGGTGTGTTTGGGGTCATTGTCCTGTTGAAAAATAAATGATCGTCCAACTAAACGCAAACCGGATGGGATGGCATGTCGCTGCAGGATGCTGTGGTAGCCATGCTGGTTCAGTGTGCCTTCAATTTTGAATAAATCCCCAACAGTGTCACCAGCAAAACACCCCCACACCATCACACCTCCTCCTCCATGCTTCACAGTGGGAACCAGGCATGTGGAATCCATCCGTTCACCTTTTCTGCGTCTCACAAAGACACGGCGGTTGGAACCAAAGATCTCAAATTTGGACTCATCAGACCAAAGCACAGATTTCCACTGGTCTAATGTCCATTCCTTGTGTTTCTTGGCCCAAACAAATCTCTTCTGCTTGTTGCCTCTCCTTAGCAGTGGTTTCCTAGCAGCTATTTGACCATGAAGGCCTGATTGGCGCAGTCTCCTCTTAACAGTTGTTCTAGAGATGGGTCTGCTGCTAGAACTCTGTGTGGCATTCATCTGGTCTCTGATCTGAGCTGCTGTTAACTTGCCATTTCTGAGGCTGGTGACTCGGATGAACTTATCCTCAGAAGCAGAGGTGACTCTTGGTCTTCCTTTCCTGGGTCGGTCCTCATGTGTGCCAGTTTGGTTGTAGCGCTTGATGGTTTTTGCGACTCCACTTGGGGACACATTTAAAGTTTTTGCAATTTTCCGGACTGACTGACCTTCATTTCTTAAAGTAATGATGGCCACTGGTTTTTCTTTAGTTAGCTGATTGGTTCTTGCCATAATATGAATTTTAACAGTTGTCCAATAGGGCTGTCGGCTGTGTATTAACCTGACTTCTGCACAACACAACTGATGGTCCCAACCCCATTGATAAAGCAAGAAATTCCACTAATTAACCCTGATAAGGCACACCTGTGAAGTGGAAACCATTTCAGGTGACTACCTCTTGAAGCTCATGGAGAGAATGCCAAGAGTGTGCAAAGCAGTAATCAGAGCAAAGGGTGGCTATTTTGAAGAAACTAGAATATAAAACATGTTTTCAGTTATTTCACCTTTTTTTGTTAAGTACATAACTCCACATGTGTTCATTCATAGTTTTGATGCCTTCAGTGAGAATCTACAATGTAAATAGTCATGAAAATAAAGAAAACGCATTGAATGAGAAGGTGTGTCCAAACTTTTGGCCTGTACTGTATGTTTTTAGCTTGGCTTTAACTCAATGGTGCCTCCTCATTTATTGCCTCTGTTTTTAAGTTTTGGGCATTTTACACTTCCAAAAATATATTTCTTTTTTCTTTTTTTTAAATGGCATTTATTTTAAATAAATATAGTTTATTGTTGTAATGTTTAGCTCCTCACTTGTTACTTTTTCTCTGTGAAGCACTTTGAGCTGCTTGGCTGTATGAAAGGTGCTTAATAAATAAAGTTTGATTTGATGTAATATTCATTCATTGTGCAAAATTTAAAAAACAACAACATTGGGGTCGATTCTGATGACGTGCCAATATTATCGTGTTCCCATATAATCATAACATTTAAATGAAAAAAAGAAAAGAGATTTTTTTTTGTCTCCACCATGCTCAGATAGCACTGATGTGTACCCTCGTGTTCTGCACCTACTTATACTGCTGATAAAACAACCTGACATCTTGGCTCTTACCACCTCTGATTTTTATTTATTTATTTATTTATTTTTTATTTAGTAAAGCATTTCATGAAGCAGCAGGCATGTGTGGAAACACAATAATCTGTCCTTTATGTGATGTAGTTGTAGTTGTAGTGTATTTTAAGTCAAAGTTAAGCACAGCTAATTGTTCCGAAACACAATGAAATGAAAATATTCATTTATTATCTAAAATATTTTTTTATACTAATTTCATAACTTTAAATTCTTTGCTGTCATCAGTTTTTTCCAGTGATTTGTTTTTGATTCTGTTGCTGATGAAGTTAGTGAAAATAAATCAGCTTTATTCTGAAATTTAACAACATAACTTCCGGTTTGATGCTCTTTTATTTTGTTGAATTGACTCGGTCACCTGAACGGCTGAAAAGTTTACACCTGGGCTTTCTGATCAGGTGCGTTCAGGTGCTGCGGGAACTATTAACATGTTGATTTAAATACACATCTACACACAGATAAATACTATTAAATATGTATATTATAACTTTGCATTAATTATCAATACTAGCAGCGTGGTAACATCCTGCTCCAACCTGTATTACTACCTCATCTACCACGATGTTTATAATCTCTATTTTTTATTACTAGCCTTTAACTTTTGCTTCATCACTACCTCTACTAGATGATACAACAGGTAACACTTTATATTAACGGGGATTTTGAGGTCTGAATCGTCTTTTGGGCATATTCTGACTGACCTCTGCTCCTAATATCTCAACTCAACCCCAGTTTCAAATATAACATGTTAATGGAATAATGATGTTTACATAAAGAGAAGTGAAATCAACAAAATGATGATAAACAAAACAAACATCCTGTTTACAGAGCAGGTGCTGTTTCTGGACTGAGAGTGACTGAATGAAACATTTTACTGTTTGACGCAGACTAAAGACATTTTCTTTATTCTTTATTTATTCAGTAAACAACACAAGTAAAAGAAAGAACAAAAAATAACTCTCCCAAAACAGTCCGACTATGATCCTTTCTGCTCCTCTCAATGTTCGTACAGTCCCTTATATTATATATCTACACTGCAGATTATTCCCACAATGTTACAATATGTGTAAATAATATTTCACAGTGAATTACATTATTATCACCTTAAAGGATCCAACTGTGATATTTCATTTTATTGTGAAATTCATGCAGGTAAATATAATTATTTTACAGAAGTACTCTGTGAAATCACAGTAATATATGGAGTTTAACTGTGAGATTACAGTGAAATACAGTGATTATATGGGAGCATACTGTTAAACCACAGTAATCAAATGTACATAAACTTTGACATTATAATTAAATTTAGTTATTTACAGGAACATACTGTTAAATCAGTAATGTAACAAGCTTTCACTTGTGAGTTTACAGTTAAATATATTATTTTACAGGAGCATGCTGCTAAATTACAGTAATATGCAGGCACAACTACGGTGAGATCACAGTATACAGCTGTTATTTCACAACTATTTACTGTAGAAATGATTCAGTAACTTAACTGATGCGACTAGAAGGCAGTAATTTACTGTAAATGCAAATGCGGTATTTTTATTTTTACTCCCATTTTTCCCTTTCTGTCAAACTGTGGTCACAGATGTGTTATGATCCGTGTCAGTGAGCTCCTTTTCCAAGATAATCCATCCCCCTGACAGGTGTGACTGATTTGGTTGGTTGGATGTACCGCCAAATTCATGTAAACGACACTGGAGACGTCTTAAAGTTGTGAAATGAACACTCAGTTGACAGGAAACAGCTCTGGTGGACGTTCCTGCAGTCAGCACGCCAACAACACGCCCCCTCAAAACATGGGACACCTGTGTGGTTGTGTTGTGTGATCAAACGTCACATGTTAGAGTGACCTTTTATTGTGACCATCCAGAGACACACCTGTGTAGTGATGATGCTGCTTAATCAGACACACCTGTCAACTGGATGGATTATCTTAGAGAAGGAGAAGAGCTCACTGCACTGATTATAACACATTTGAGGCCAAAATTTGAGAGAAACAGGGGCATCGGTGGATCAGTGGACAGAGCAGGCGCCCCATGTACAAAGGCTCAGTCCTTGCTGCAGCAGCCCAGGCACAATTCCAGCCTGTGGCCCTTTGATGCATGTTGCTTCCTCTCTCTCCCCTTTTCACACTGATCTGTCCATTAAAGGCAAAAAAGGCCCAAAAAATCATCTTTTAAAAAAAAAAAAATTGAAATAATTTTTTTTTAACTTAAACCTGTAAAAAATTAGAGCAAAAACAAAAGTGCTGCGTTTAAATTCCTGTTCAGTGTGTGTTTATATTCACAGAGTTTGTTCAGTTGTGTTTCCACTGACAGAGCCCGGCTCTCCTCCCTGGCCTGTGCTTCCTGTGCCTGGCCTGCAGGAGGCGCCACAGCCCTCTCTTTTCTCCTCCTCCTCATCTTCCTCTCTCCTTCTTCTCCTCCTCCTCCTCTCCGCCGTGTGTGTGAGAGGCTTCCCCCACTATAAAGCTGTGAGAGGCGGCTGGAGGCTGTAAAGGCTCTCCAGCAGCCCGAGGAGGAGGAGGAGGATGATGATGAAGAAGCTGTGTGTCCGTCAGCGTGGAGCTGATCTCAGTTCAGTCCGTCTGAGCTGAAACTGGAAACTTTCTGATGCTTTTCTGACTCCTGAGCTTCTTCTTCTTCTTCATGCACCTCTGAGCAGGTAACAGCAAACTCTCAGTGACAGGATGAAGATGTGATTTCATCATGTTTTCATTTCTCCACATGTTTCCATCATGTTCTCACACGGACGTCTCGGCTGTTCTGTCTGAGCTGAGTGAATGTTTTAATAATCACTAAAACATTCTTCACTGCTGCTGTGCTGATGTTTGTGATCTGATATGATCTGTGCTCTGCTGGTGTTTTATGAATCAGGAACATTCCTATAGTGAGATCTACAAACCAAACATCTTCAGCTGCACAGCTGGTGCTCTTCCTCTGAGGATGATGAGGAAGAATTTGTGTGAGGTGGAAAGTCTGCTGATGATTTCAGAGTTTATTGTGGCGTTCAGACGAACAAATGTTTATTTTATTTTGATGTTTAAATTTACTGAAAGCACAGAAGAGAAGACTTTAGAACATTTACTTCATGTTTACTCAGATTTTTGTGATTTATGAAATTTGAAGGTCTGAAAATGTGATCGTGAGATGAATTTGACTTGGTTTTCTTTATTTTAGGACTTGTTGAGAACATACAGGTTTCTGTATCTGGCTTAAACAGACTGATGGTGTCAGTGTGTTGTGGTGTTGTGAGGCTGGGTGTAGCTGTGTGACACAATAATGAAAACCTCATTCATTCATTTATTCATCAGCCAGTCATTCAGCTGCTGTGACTTTCTGTGTGTCGACTTTTCTTTGATATGAGGTGTTTTTAAATGCTTTAAAGGATATCACTAATGGTTTATTAATAATCTATTAAAGCTTCATCGATGAGTCAGAAGACGTTTATCGGAAAACTTTAGACTCATCAGGTTGTGAAAAATCCTTTTTGTAACAATAAATAATTACTAATTGCCTGTAACTGATCCATAAAGCATAATTAATAAAGTCATTAGTCATTAATTATTAACCATTTATTGACAGTACATTATTATTAATGTTTTATGATCTTTTTCTTATATGAAGTGTCAGTCAGTTATCGGTCTCTCTTACAGAGTACATTAGTTTTAGTCGTGATATTTTCTCTCAGTGTTTCCTACATGTGTGTTGATGTGGTTTCTGTAGTATTTCTATATGTTGCCTCCTTACAGAAGCTTATGTTTTATTTTGGAGGATTTCTTCTAATATTTCAATAATATTGTGATATATTTAGTTGTATTTGTAGAAACGTGTTTTAGCATTTCTTTCTGTTCCCTGAATCAGCTGAATGCACATAATGGTAAAGGTGTGTGTGTGTGAATGTGTGTGTGTGTGTGTGTGTGTGAGAGAGAGATGCAGATGGATGGTTCACACCACTGGCCCCGTTTCCATCGAGCAGTCCGGTTCAGTTCAGTTCAGTTTCACTATATCAGTGACAGAAAATAAGGAAAAGCTTAAAAGGTCCCTTTTAAACAGGAAAATAGCTTCATTATAAAGAAAACGGATCACTGAATCCTGGACGTTAATTAACTGTGCAGCAATGTATATGGGTGTGTGTGTGTGTGTGTGTGTGTGTGTGTGTGTGTGTGTGTGTGTGCAGACAATCTTGTTCTTCTATCTAAGTGAGGACCAGCTGCAGTTACAGTAAAAGTGAGGACATTTTGTCAGGTTTCTTCAGAGGCTGTTTGAGGCTTCAGATTGTTAAACTCCTAAGTGCTATATCGTAGGCAACTGGACTTGTTAAAGTTTCTTGACGATGTTTCACCTCTCAGCCAAGAGGCTTCTTCAGTTCAGTTGCCTATGATATAGCACCTCAGATGACCGAGAATCTTCACCAACATGTTTACATCCATGTTCACTAGCTAGCTTGTCATCTTCTTCCTGCCTTTGTCAACACATTACTATGTTTATTTACTTGTGTTTCATTTGAAAAGTGACAATGTACATTAATCAACATTCAAACAAATGTAAATGCACCCGAGTTAGCTGAAAGGCTGGTTTTCATCTAAAGCACCTTTGCCTGGGGCTATTAGGCATCATAGAATAGTAAAAAAAAAAAAACATTATGGTAAAAGAAATATACAAAACAGTTAAACAACCTGAACAGCAGACGATACAGGTACACTTTGAATACAGTCATTTTAAAATGAGATAAACGTAGCATCAGTGTTGACACTGTTGGTTCTCAATAAGTCTTTTTTCCTTATTTCTTACACTTGAATTAATAACATGATGGGGACTCTCTGGTTATTTGTGGCACTGATGTGATGCTCTGAGGGAAAAGACGGCCCGTGTTTTATTCCTGAGTGGGACTGTGCAGTCTCCTCTCGCTGTTTTAAATGTGCATCACCTTTGTGTGTGTTCACCATCCGTGTGCTGGCATACGAGAACAAACATGACAGGGTGCCTGTAAAGTGTTGAATGACATTTCTTTGATGACATGTCACTGACTTCTTGAACTATTCACATCAGTGTCGATCAATAAGTTGATTATCTTATTGATTTTACAGCAGTTCTCCCATGATGCAACAGACACATGACGTGCTTCCTGTCTTCCTGTGCTTTCATAGTACGCAGTAACATTTTCTCTCATGGTGTCAGTGTTTTCCAGTAATGCCCTCACAGTGTGTGTCAGGAGGTGTGTGTGTGTGTGTGTGTGTGTGTGTGTGTGTGTGTGTGCATTAGTTTCCAGTATATTTTTTTAATTTTTATTTATTTGTGTTTAACCAGATGAGATCAGCGATCTTTTTTCAAGCTACACCTGGCCGAGACAGCAGCGTAAAAAAGGTCTCAAACAACAAAAACCACAATAAAATTATAGAAAACATTGATAAGTTAGATATATATAGTTATAAGATATATTAAAATACCTTTGCACAATCAAAAGCACCAACCGATTCTTTCACCCTTCTACTTTAACATCAGGCAGAGAGACTGATTCTCTGAGTTTCAGATCTTTTTGAAGGCTACCTCAAGTGAACGGAGCAGAACACATAAAAGCTTTTAAAGTGCAAATGCATGATGGGAGTTTACCCAGAACTGCTTTATGAAAAAGTCATACTATCAGTAGCAGTAACTGATATAAAGAAACGTCACGTTTTGTTTTGATGTTTCTTCGGTGATATTTGAGATATTTTCAGATGTATTCTGACAAACAGAATCTGCAGTTTTGGTGCAGATCTTTTGTTTTGCTGACTGATTGTAGAAAGGAGGTAGAGTAGGAGGTGTGTTTGTCTGAGCTCTTGTATTTCTATCACAGCTTGTACCCGACTCAGAATGATGCCAGTTGAATCAGATTTGGCTGTTCAGTATGAATATTGGACTATTCATTTCTTATTTGTTATAGAATATTGAGAGTTTGAACGAGGCTCAGCGGGATGTTCAGTGTGACAGTGACATTCATGTACTCAAGTAAACAAGCTAATGGAGCATCGGAAATGTGCAACATTTTTGCTGACACTGGATATCAAACAAAAACCAGAGACTGTATTGTACTGGGAGCATGCCTGTGTTCCCACAGCCCTGTGTTCCCACAGCTCTATGTTCCCACAGCCCTATGTTCCCACAGCCCTGTGTTCCCACAGCTCTATGTTCCCACAGCCCTATGTTCCCACAGCCCTGTGTTCCCACAGCCCTATGTTCCCACAGCCCTGTGTTCCCACAGCCCTATGTTCCTACAGCTCTATGTTCCCACATTTCCTTTTTCATAAATTTGTATCAGATTTTATCCCCCTTTCTCCCAATTTGGTAGCCAATTACACCCAACCTATTATCCCCCCTAACCCTAACGCTTGTGGGAGGATAGGGCTTAAATTGAAGGGAAATGTAGGAACACAAGACCTAATTTTGAAAATGTCCTAGAAATATGGGAACATAGGGCTGACCCCATTGTAATAAATTGCTGTGAGCTTTAAATTCATCACTTCTGAGCAGAAGGCAGAAGATAATATCATCTCAGAGTACCTATGCCATACGCTCTGCATCGATGCAGAGCCTCTGCCGTAACCTACACTGTACCCTGACGTGCACCTCTCCAGAAATGTATCTACACGTCGTGGTGCCGCAGACCTCCTGTCTGTCTCTGTAAGCTGAAACCATTTCCCTCAGTGGAAACAAAGCTTTGATTTACTTTAATTTCACAGATAAGAAACAGTAAATTGTGAAGACAATAAAGCCTCCACTAAAATAGCATTTAAAGGAGCTATGATTTGTATGTCAGATCAATGAATGCCACTGACCACTCAGTGAGTTTCATGGCTTTGAAAACGAACGTTTAGGGTGGTGTGAGGACAGGTTCACACATGGCCATAGGCAGCAATGTTAAGCCAGGCAGGGGAAAGACAAATTCTCAGAAAAGGAGCAGTTGTCACAATTTTGGTCTGAGCCGCTCTATTTCATCATAAACAACCCAGACATGGAGCTCAAAGTGCAAAATACTGGACTTCTCCTTTAAGCCCTGTGTGTGATTTATCCTGGCTTCATATGAGCAGAGGAAATCTCTGCAAGTCGCTAGGCTAATTTATACAATGTAAAATGCTGTAACTGTAATTACTGCACATTATATTTTTAGGTTATTTTTATTACTTAAGTTATTGTGTCATTTTGTGTCTTTTTTTTATTAAGCAGTACAGTACATATATTATTAATATATTTAAGTAATAGTATTTTTACGACATCATTGAGTTACTTGTTAATTATTATTTTATTGTCATTTATAGTACTTAGTATATTGTTTCATTTATATGTTCATGTGCACTTCTTTTTTTTAAGTAGTTATTGTATTCCCTTGTATGAGTGAATTTACCTGCCCTTGTTTTGTGGGGACAGGTATTAGTGACGCACGGTGAGTGCCTCGTGCTGAACGAGTAAGAGAGAGAAGTTGTTGTACCCTGAAGTTGGAGCATGCTGTTACTGTCTACCGTGTTGGCGATAATTAAAAGAGAGAGAGAAACAACGATATATTGTAGCCTGCTTTATTACCCACAGCCCGGAAGAACTGGGGAACGCTAAAAGTCAAGAAAAGAGGGTTACAATGCCATAGGCTTGTGCTAATAACGTTAGCATGTTGTATTTGTTTGGTAAACG